TAGGTGGGGGGGATGGAGAGAGAACGAGAGAAGTAGGGAGAGCTGAAAACAAACCATCTGCTCTTATTCGGCCCGTATCCCTCTATTCCCTCCCTTTCATGTAACCATCCAGATGCCTCTTAATTGTCGCCAATGTGCCTGCTTCCACCACCACCTCTGGCAGCGCGTTCCGGGCTCCTACCACTTTCTGTGTGAAAAACTTCCCTCGCACATCTCCCTTAAACTTTCCCACTCTGACCTTAAACCTGTGCCCCCATGTAATTGAAACTTCAACCCTGGGAAAAAGCCTCTGACCATCCACCCTATCTGTGCCTCTCATAATTCTGTGGACCTCTATCAGGTCTCCTCTCAGCCACTGTCATTCCAGTGAAAACAATCCTCGTCTTTTTAACCTTTCCTCATAGTCAATGGCCAGGAGACCAGGCAACATCCTGGTGAACCTTCTGTGCGCTCTCTCCAAAGCTTCCACGTCCTTCTGATAATGTGATGACCAAAACTGCACACAGTACTCTGAATGCAGCCTAACAAGGGTTTTATATCGCGGTAACATGGTTTGCCAACTCATGTACTCCATGCCCCGGCCGATGAAGGCAGGCATGCCATATGCCTTCTTAATCACATTGGCCACCTGTGTTGCCACTTTTAGGGAACTATGGACCTGCACGCCCAGATCGGTCTGAATGTTAATGTTCCTAAGGGTTCTGCAATTTACAATATAATTCACACCTAAACTTGACCCTCCAAAATGCACCATCTCACCTTTGTCTGGATTAAACTCCATCTGCCGTTTCTGTGTCCAAGTTGTATCCTTTCGTAATCATTGGCGCTATCAGCAACTCCACCAATCTTCATATCATCTGCAAACTTACTAATCGGACCACCCACATTTTCTTCCAGATCATTTATACGTACTCCAAACAACAGAAAACCTAAGACTGATCTCCATTCTGAAAAACACTCTTCCACCGCTACCCTCTATCTTCTATGACCAAGTCAGTTTTATATCCTTCTAGCCAGCCCACACCGAATCCCATGTGATTTTAGTTTTTGTACCAATCTGCCATGTGGGACCTTATCAAATGCCTTACTAAAGTCCATATAAACTATGTCTACAGCCCTCCCCTCGTCAATTATCTTTGTCACCCCTTCAAAAAATTCAGCTGGGGAGACATGACCTTCCCTGTACAAAACCATGCTGCCT